CTTGCACTTGGCCTTGTTGAACCTCATGAGGTTCACACAGGCCCACCTCTCCAGCCTGTCCAGGTCTCTCTGGATGACATCCCATCCTTCTGGTGTGTCAGCTGCACCACTCAGCTTGGTGTCATCCGCATACTTGCTGAGGGTGCACTCGATCTCGCTGTCTAAGTCATTGATGAAAACATTAAACAGCACTGGTCCCAGTATGGACCCCTGAGGGACAGCACTCGTCACCAGTCTCCATCCAGACATGGAGCCATTGACCACTACCCTCTGGATGCGACCATCCAGCCAGTTCTTATCCACCGAACAGTCCAGCCATCAAATCCATAGCTCTCCAATTTAGACAGAAGGATGTTGTGGGGGACCGTGTCCAGATAGATGACGTCTGTTGGTTTTCCCTTGTCGCTGATGCTGTCACACTGTCATAGAAAGTCACTAGGTTCGTCAGGCAGGACTTGCCCTTGAATATACTTCATTTTTTAACTTATTAAATAATTCATTTGAATATATATAATTCTAGTGAACTAATAGAACTTTTTAATGGAAAGTTGAGTCTAGTAAAGCATTAAATAGAAAATTCTAAACAATAATGCCATTACTGGTTTTTCAGATACTTCAGTAGGAACTTGCAAGTGGCTTGACACAATGGTAGCTCTTTCCTTGAAGATCTGTGTCCGCCAATGCAATGTAGTGAAGACGATGCAGTTTGAACCATCCACTGCAGTGTATGATGCCTGTAGAGTTATTCGTGAACGCGTGCCAGAGGCTCAAACAGGGCAAGGTGAGTACCTGTGTTTGTCCTTAGTCAATTCATTGGTTGAATTTGAAAATAAAAATAGACCCATTGGTTTTTTTGCACTGTTCTGTTCCTCCGTTTGTCTTTCAGGTTGGAGGGCTTGGTTTTTTATTTAAATCATAAGGCTCTGAAGTAAAAGGCATGAAGTGCAAACAGATTTTTAAGTGACAGAAGCTACCTGCATTCTTCTTATTCCTTCTGTTCTGACAGAGGTTTTTGTATAAAGGATACTTTTTTGTGGAACTTTGACTTCTTGAATAAATTACTTGTGTGCCTGAAAGCTGATTTCCGCCCCCTCCCCCCCCGCTTGGAGAGCAATTTTTGTGGTACCATCTTGTTAAAGCAGTGTTTGTGGCACTGCTTTCTAGGAAATCTGGGCAGACTTACTTTGTGCCTCAGCAAAGGAAGGGACAATGTGAATTGCAAAAGAATGGCTGGACATCTCCAAAATGTGCAAAGGGGAATGTTTGAAAATGGTTGATAAGTAAAAGCATCACCATGCTGTGCATACCATATTCAGAAGGCTGCTATGTGTTAGTCAAATTTATGTCTCTGTACCTATTGAGCAAATTACATGAATGCAGACTGTGAAGTATGTCTTCACTCGGATAAAAGCTCTGGTTTAACTGTAGTCAAAGTTGTCAAAAAATCCAGATTCTTCACAATCTTTTGGTGCTGTACTCTATATAATGCCACTGGAATGTAATTTTTAAAGCAGATTGTTTATTGAATTTCATGCACAGCTCTCAACCTTTAGAGTGATTTCAAAAATCTTTTCCGAACTGTTAGAAAACCTTACCAGTAATAAACAATGTTACTGTTACTTAGAAATGCTTCTCGTTTGCTTCTCGTCCTTGGGAAGTCTAGTTATACAGCTTCAATTTTTCATTTACAAGCTGTGCATTTTTACCATACTGATCTCTCAAGGCAGTTATTTTGAACAGCTGTTGAATTCAGAGAAGCTGAGTAATAAATATCCCCAAACATCGGGAACCTCATAGAAAAGCCTAGCAACTCTCTTCAGATTTTACAGTAGGGCTTTTGCTTTATATGAGAATGCAGTGCAATTATGAACTTCAAACAACTTTATGAAGCTGAGTGATGAACAGAAATAAGGTTACTAACCTATTCATTCCCCTTCTTTGTGGCTGTTAAAATACATGTTTGCCTGTTAGTTCAGAAGACTCACAGAACTGATCAAACTAGTTCCTGCACAACAGAAAATGTAATTGTCCTTCATTATGACTGTCAGCTGTGTACATTTCACTTCTCCAGCAAGCTTGCATGCTGGCACAAAGGTGGCCATGAACAGCTACTGCTGTTTCACTACTAGGGTGCATCCCTAGTAGTGAAGTAAGTACCAGAGCAGTCTGTGCTTACTTGGTAATCCTATGCAAGGCACTTTGTGTGCCTCTAAAGGTTGCAACCTATTTATAGGCACAAATTCTGAAATTTTACATAACTGATCCTGTACTGAATTTGTGTCGTAAACATCTCTGTACTTAGGGTAGGAAAAGTTTTTTTTCTTACTCAGTTATTTTTGGAAGGATTCTGCCTTCAAAATGTGTCTGTAAGCCAGTTACACTTCTACTAAGTGTAAGCTCTGTTTATATACTTACATGAGTAACAATGTGTTTCATGTAAGTGCTCTTGAATGTGAATTGTTGCTATGCATGTCAAAATGAAACATTGTAGCTGTGTTTACAGGAGTTCAGAGGGTCCAAACACATGGCTGAAAGGAAACAAGGTACTGTCCCTGCACCAAGCTGGTGTTACGAGGCTGTGTGCACACAGCTGGCCAGCCTGTATGAAAAAGCTATTAGCTTAAACTGTAGAACTGCAATTAAAGCAGGCTGAGCTGATGAACAGTCATTTACGCTGTTTGTGATAGTGAAGTGTACCCTGTATTGATTCATCATGCAAATGTTTTATCAAGAAGAGATGCTTTGGATGGGCCTTAAGTTGGAAGTCATGGTCCTTCATCTTGTATCTCCACTAAATGTGGAGTTTAGTCTTTGAAGCTTAAGCCTGGGTTTGTTCTTCTGTGACAATGAAAGTTTTTGTCACTTACCTGTGATTCTGAAAGAATCAACTGGCATGTGTTTAGCCTGCAATAGATGCAAGTTTTTCCTGAGGTGGTTGTTACGGATATACCTCTAGAAGCCTTGTATTTTTTTAAATGCCTAAACCTGAAGCATCTACCAAAAAGATTCCAAAGTTTAGCATAAACTCAATATGTGAAGGGTTGAAAAGAAATTTTTTTTTTTTTTTAAATAGAACTAGTGCTTGAAATAGTAGCATATAATGTAGTATACAATGGTTAAGCCCAAACTGCTTGTATTTTTGGTTAGTTAATTCCAAAGCAGGACCTATGAGTATTTAAAAAAGGTTGTCTTGAAGATAATTAATTACAAATATAATAAAAATTACACAGTAGATGTGACGTGTTCTTGCTTAGTGAAGCTTTTGTTCTAGTCTTCTATAAAGCCTGATCTACCTTGCTGTCTGCTGCTAAGCTAAATATTTTCTGAAGCACAGAAAAAAATTTCTATCTAAGTTCATTAAGAATGGAAGGTAAGGGTAATGGAAGCTTAACCCTGAAACTGAATAACCTTGAGTAAAACCATATTGGCTTTATTAGGTTTGATGTTTTTCAGTGAATCTCTGTCTCTTCTGTTCCACAGCCTCTGACTATGGATTGTTTTTGTCAGATGAAGATCCTCGAAAAGGTATATGGCTGGAGGCTGGAAGAACGCTTGATTATTACATGCTGAGAAATGGGGTATGGTGCAAGTCTATTGCTTCTTTCATCAACACGTTTTTAGAAAACCTGTTTCCCAAGTAGCAAGAAGACTGTTTAGCATTTGGAGGGGTAGGAGGGTCTTGAGTCTGTTCCTGAAATTGGCCCACTTCCCTCCCTTGCTGTGCCTCGGTTCCTGCGTTTGGTTGTGACTGTGGCCAGTGGTGTTTTCATAGAATGATTAATGGAAAGATAAAAAATTTTGTAATAAGCTTTATATTTGTAGTGACCTTGCATTATAGTATAGGTTTCTTGTATACTAAAGGTGATTAGATCATACTTCCTCACATTATGGCCAGCTTGCTTACAACCAAAAGGCATTGCTATCCTTTTTAAATGCTAAACTAGTTTTTGCAGTACAAAGGTACTTTGGTCTATTCTGCCCTGTCTAGGTCTTGCCAGCCAGGACAAGTTCTTGAAAAATGACGTTGGCAGAACTAAAAGTAGTCACTTCTCAAGTTTGTTACATGAGTAAGTTTGCCTATACTATAACAAAGGAAAAATCCAGACTTGAGGGTGGGGAGCCAATCCTGTTTTAGGCATCTGAGTTAGTGGGTTGGCTTGTGGTGATTTCCAGAAGCATTTAGAAACAGTATTGTTTACTTCCTAGGATGTATTGGAGTACAAAAAGAAACAGAGACCTCAGAAAATACGTATGTTGGATGGTTCAGTGAAAACAGTCATGGTGGATGATTCTAAAACAGTCGGTGAATTGCTGGTTACCATTTGCAGCAGGATAGGTAAGATTCTGGGACCCACATACTTAAGAATTTGTTTTTCTGCCATATATGCATCTTGATTTTTAAAATGTTATGTGTATTATTGGCTAGAAATTGGCACATAAGTTAAAAATTAAATTTGTTATTAGTTAACATTTACCAAACATTTTTTTTAAATCCATTGTCCAGGTTTTATGAAAGTGGGTAGTTAGCTATGTCCTTAAACTTCAGTATTTAGCAGTTGAAGGCACAAAGTTATCTGACTGTACAGTTATACTTTTTTTTTAATTGTATGTTACCTTTTACATACGTTTTGCTGCTATGTGGTACAGAATTAGAACTAGATTTGTACTTAATTTTAATGGGGTAAAAGATAAATACTGTTAACCTTGAAATATACCTAAACTTAGGACTCTCTTATTATGATTAAGAGTTGATCACACTACCATATCATATGTGAAACGACCTGTAGAAGCCATCCAGAGCAGCTGGTCAAAAATGTGTCATGTTGGTTATAGTCTGTCTTTGTATTTTTCTAAATAGAGACATTTTTGAAAACTAATTCATATTTAAATATAAACATGCATCTAATGTGGATTAGTTTAAATCATCTTAAACCCTTGCATAATTCTAATTTAGAATTAAAGTGACCTTAATTTGATTTAGATTTATTTACTTAGAAAGTGAATTAAGCTAAATTTAAATTAATCCATTTCAATTTTGAGTGTTTCCATGCTGGATTCTAATGTGCTGTAACTAATTTACTTGAAAAATCAGTTTGACTTATTTTCATGAATGTGGCTACGTAGGTGAGCCTTTAATTTGCTTTCCAGTATAACTTAAACACACTTTACAAAATAGTGGAGAAAACCAAGCAGCACAAAGAAATGAGAGCAACTTAGCACATATGCTAAATGTTGTGAACTGATTATTGATTCGGTTTCATGTAAAATTCGTAGGAAGAGTTGAGATTTAAAACTCTAAAAAAATCATGTATTTCACATGGTTTCTATTCCTCAGTCTGCTCTGCCACATTTCTTCTACGCATCGTGGACAAGCTGAATTACTCAGTTCTCAGGAAGTAACTGTAGGCATCCATGAAAGGAAATTTACTATGGCATGTCTCTATTCTGGAATTTACTGCTGGTTTAAATTCCATCATGTTTTTAAACTGGCAGTTTCTCTTGATAGACAACAAAAAACCTTAATATCTTTCTGAAAGTGGCAAATGCAGCATATGATGAAGGAATGATGTATTTGAAGTAAAATGCTGGATATTGGAGAGTTGTCTTGAATGTGGAAGTTGTAGGTTATTGGGATCTCCTTTCCCATACACTCTTTTAGCATTTAATCTAGAATATCTTTACTATACTTGAAATTAACCATTGGTGTTTTAATGTATGAAAAAGAATAGTTCACCCATCCTAAAAATATATTAAATTTTTATTGTTACAAACACTGGATTTATTTATAATTCCAGGAATAACAAATTATGAGGAATATTCCTTAATCCAGGAGAGCATCGAAGAGAAGAAAGAGGAGAGTACAGGGACGCTTAAGAAAGATAGGACGTTGTTGCGTGATGAAAGAAAAATGGAAAAACTGAAAGCAAAGCTTCATACAGATGATGACTGTGAGTAGTGTATTTCGGGATAATTCTTTGATTAATGTCCCTCCACAGTATAGTGCAAGACAACCACACAGGAATGCATTTTTAGATTCTTCAGTGTGTCTCAGTTGATCTCTACCTGTATATTGCATCCATTTATATATAATGTCATCTACTACTGAGTATTTTTAAAACTGGGTAAATGGACAAGTTGTTGTCTCTAGCTATGAGAGTTAGCGGACCTTTTGAAGTGACTCTTGGTACTTTTTTGGTAGGGAAGTTGTAACTTAAGTGTGAAGAGTCATTTCTGTAATAACCATTTTCTCCCCTTCATTACAGTTGGATATTTAAATATTGATACCTACTGAAAGCAATCAAACGTACATTTGTCTTTGAAGTGAATACATTTTAATTGAAAATGGATTTTGCCGAAGAACTAAGATGGTATTTGATTTGTTTTATGTGTAAAGTCATGAGAACCATTTTTTCTGTTTTACGTTAAGGGACTGAGATTAACTGTGACTGGCAGGACGATGTTTTGAAGTTGTATTCAGGGATAAGAAAAGTAAAAAGAACAATGGGTTTTAGGGGGAAAATGTAGTAAACTTTTAAGTAATTTTGCAATGAAGTTTTGAAGACCTAAATTTGGTATTAGAACATTACTATAGTTGTTTATTCAACAATATTAATGGTGTCTTATGCTGTAGTAAATTATTGTTTCTCAGCAGTGCTGTTCTTCAATTTTCATTTGTAGCAACCTTCAACACTGATGACTAGAAGCAGAAATGAAAGCACCATTTTTTGCGGAGTTTCCCCCTCCAGTAGAAATGCCAATCACCACATGATTTTCACAACAGCTACTGACACTGACAACACTGCCTATTTAACAATGTGCATGTCTGTGGTTCTCTTACAGTAAATTGGCTAGATCACAGCCGAACATTTAGAGAACAAGGAGTTGATGAAAATGAAACACTACTGTTGAGACGAAAGTTCTTTTATTCAGACCAGAATGTAGATTCAAGAGATCCTGTTCAACTTAATTTGCTTTATGTTCAGGTACAGTATGTGGAGCAGAAGGATGGGTTCTACCTTGTCTGAGGAAACCTGTGTAGGTTAATTAGAAGATCTGTTGCTGAAATACTCCATCTGCTAGCATTCCAGTTCTGGGTGTACTTTGATTCTACTTTTTTGTCTGTCTCTCCAAGAACATGTGATAGCACAGAGGCTTTGCTGATTCTTTTTAATCAAATACTTTCAACCCAGCAATGGACACTCAACCAAAAATCCACTGACTTTCACATCCTTGTCCTAATTTCTTTAAAATTCGTGAATGTCATTAGGCTTTTAAGTTGTTCTTTTTAGTTCTTTTCCCCATTCTCTTCTATAGGTGATGCTTTTTCTGTAATATGGAATCTTCTGTCAGTCTTGCAACCAGCTTTCTGCTTCTCATCTCTTTTCTCTTCCACCTTATCAGCGAGAGAGCTTCTTCTGCACTCTCTTTCCAGCCAGCTGCTTTCCAGACAGCACACAAGACAGGCAGACTTCCTGTTCACAATATCATGTAACACAGTTGGAGTCCAGCTAGGCAGGTTCCCCAAACTGTTAGATAAAGCTAGAAGTTTTTTGAAGAAGATACTATTTAACTGAAGGCTCCAGTGAAGTTGCCTGTAATGCGGTCTGGAAAACAGTAGGCTTTTAAACTCTTTGTGAAAGTTTTTTTTAAAGTAAAAAAAAAAAAAGCATTGAAAGTTTATTGGAATGTTCAGTTGTTATACTTGCAGCTGATTCAAATGGATTTGCTCTAAATTACATTTTAAAACTCTGAGGAAGAAGATAGATGGCATTGTTCGTAAGACTGCATTACATTTTTCAACTGTTTTAGAAGACTGTATCACACTGAGCTCTCCTGCTGCTTAGATATTTCTTTCAGGCTACTGTTATGACAGCATGTGTTGATACTGCCTTGTCAATGGTTTGTCTATGGATAGATAAGCGTTCTATTGCCAGACCTATAACATCCACCATCTTTTATGACCATTTAAACAAAAGGAAGGAAAATGCTGTTTGCCTTCTCCTTTGCCATTTCTATAATAGGAATCTGTTTTTTCCTTACTAGTTATGCAGATAATTTTCTCTGCTATTACAAGGTGGTAAGATTAAAGATTTTTCATGTGTGTGTGTACACACACAAATATCTGTATATATATGTGTACATACACAGAAGTACACATGTTGTATATATACGTATGGCAGGAAATGGGTGGCAAGTCCTCTTTTTGATTAAAGTTGTTACAATTGTGGTTTTAATAAGTCTTTGTAGATATTCACCAAAAAATAAGCTAGCTCTTTGTTTATTTTATTAGTCATAAATGCACCCAGAATGGAATAATAAACACATTCAGACAGAAAAGTGTGTTGCTGGATTCTTGGGCTGTGTTCAAGCTTTCAAGGAGTTTCAGAGATGTAATAGTTATTTTGGATGTCCGTGACATGTCTTTGCTTACCTCCTATAGGCTCGTGATGACATTCTGAATGGTTCCCATCCTGTCTCCTTTGAGAAGGCCTGCGAATTTGGAGGCTTTCAAGCACAGATCCAGTTTGGACCTCATGTAGAACACAAGCACAAACCTGGATTTTTAGAGTAAACCCTTCTAACTTACAAATTTCGGTTATCTCAAGTGTAACTAATGTTTAGTTGTCACAGACTAAATGTAGTTTAGTACCTCAAGCAGAGGTAATTGTATTCAGTGTGTTTTCTGTAGCAGTCTCCCTGTGAAAGGAGCCTTGCTGCACAAATCAGCAATCCCAACTGATAAGGGGACTTTTGGCAGTGGTTTATTATGCAGCACAGGGCACCAGCTTCCCCCAGGGTGCCAGTTAAGTATGCAGCTGGTTTCCCCAACCACTTGGTAATGTGGAAGAACTGGAATTTTGTTCTTCCTTAGAAGTCTACTTCTTCCTGCATTTAGTAATGCTATGCGTGAATTAAGTGTACATCAGTATATATCACAGATATTTCATTTGCTAGGAAAGTATATGAATGGAAAGATGTTTTGTCATTTGAATAAAGTTAGTATTGCTGTGTGTAGAGGTTAAATTTTCCAAACTTTTTAGTGGCATTAATCAGTTGTTCAGATTCACCCTGTCACAGTGTTGTATGAATGGAGATCTAGAATTGTGCTCTTTGTTTCAGATGTGGACAGGAGTCCTGCTTACCAGTGGCCCATCCTTTAACCTTTATTGTGATGTTTACTTTACTGCTATCAGCAGAGCAAGTTTAGTTTGACTGAAATTTAGATGTCCCATTTTTTTACTTATTTTGATTTTTTGATTGGTTTGCCTGCAGTAGAGTTAACTGAGGGCCAGAGTCTGAGGAAAGGAATGTAGGAAGGTAAAAGAAAGCTATTTACTGCAGTCTATCAAGCATTGCCTACATATGAGGCTCATCGACAGCTTAATGGGATGCACAAAACAATGGATGCCTATTTGGTTTCTGTCCTGTTCCACTAGCCAAGTGCTCAATGCTGACTTCCTTTGTGAGCCTGAATCTGGGGTTTACAGTACCTCAGGGAATCACTTTAAAATGGTGGCTTGCTTTGCAACATGCAGTGCTGCAATATTGGTTGTTTGAAACACTTCACTTCTGAAAGATTTTCCTGAAGTAGCAGTTCATTTATGTGAACAAACAGTGTGAACAAACATCCTTCTGTTCCAGTTAATAATAATCTCTTCTTTGTACTGTCTGTTTGTCTGCTACTGATTGGCCCATGAACCTTTCCTAATGAACTACTGATATCTCTCATAACTGTGGGGACCCAGTGTAATAGCTTCAGTGAACTCCTAGTTCTTATTCCCTAGAATTGTGGCCAGTTACGCAACCATCTTCCTCTGGGATTTGCCCATTGTCTGCTTATTCTTCCCTTCTTTGTCCACTCACTCAAGAGTATTCCTGCAGCAAACCATTATGGTATTACCTTGTGACAAGCTAATGTTGAGTCATGGTAATGATTTCAAGAGTTAGGTGTTCCCAGCAATAGTTGTTTTTAATTTTTAAAGCAAACTGCTGTGCAGAGTTCAGTTGCTTAAGTTTTTCTAAGTGTTCTACTTGGTCTTTTCAATATAAAGATTTTTTTGTCTTTTTTTAAGCTCCCATATAGTAACTGTGTCTTATGGTGGACTGAAGCTGCTGGCTGGCTGGTATTTCTACTCTGTATGCAATGCTAGATAGTTTGAAGTCCACCACAGAATAAGTTATCGTACACATGAAGTGCATTATCTTTTTTTAGCCTTACAGAAATGAAAGGTATAAATAACTGAACTGTATGTTAGAAAGAGAATGTTACTCCAGTGGCAATCATTTAGAACCAGAATTCCAAGATTTAGAACCTTGTTATTTTCTGCAGGGAATTTTCTCTACTATTGTTTTATTTTCATTTAAATGGTCTTTGACTGTATTAGGATCAAGCCTTGCAGGTCACTAAGCTTGCTGTCCTGGCATATAATAAGTTTCATAAAATCAAGGATTTCTGATTTAGAGGTAACTTTCTTTTTGCCCTCTGTAGAGGAGCCTGCTCCAGAACAGTAAGTTCCTAGTCATTGCCTTCTAATTTCAATTGTACATGTTTATGATTTACTGTTGAATGCATTTGGCTGTACATAGCCTTCATGACAACATTTTTGCGAAACCTCATACTTTTGTATTGTGAGTCTAAAGAAGCCAAGTGCTCCTGACTAATTATGAACATCAAATATAAATAGCGTAGATAACTACTGATTTTATTTTTCTGAAAATGCATCTCTCGTCCTTTCAGAAAAACTTTTTAGGTTTTTTTTTTCTTGAAAAATATGGAGCTTTTATAAAGTTTCATCCAACTGTTTCTTACTTTTTGGTGGATGAACATTAATTATTTTCAAGTATGAAAGTAGTTATGTTTTATGTAAAGTGTAGCTCAATATGTGAAATAGATTTGAGGTGTCTGTTCACTCACCACTGAAACCTGAATATGCTACAGATTCCCTTAATGAGAATCTGTCAGCTCATACAGAAAACAGCATGTAACAGAACAGTATTAGTATTTCATAGCATTGCTTTGAAACAGCTTAGTTTAGTTTGCCATGTCTGCAAAATGTTTATATAGAGAGATCTTTTGTATCCTTTTTTGTCATTGATAAATGATTTTTGGCACAGATCAAGATTATTGCCTGCATCTTGTTAACACTTTGGTATTGGTTGTTGGAATTTCCTTGAAGCTCATGCCGAAGTAAACTGTGAAAGCTCTTAAACTATTAAATTGCAATAGTCCTTCATGCCCTTCCTCATACAGCTGAAGTTTTGCATTGCACCTACAGAGGTACACTGTGTTTAAATTTACTGAGAGAATATCTAATAAAGACCTCATACTATTCATGTGCAGATAGGAAAGGAACAGCTACAACTGCTCACCTCTGCTTCTTATTTCCAAGCAAGCTTGGTGACCAGTGAGCTCAATCTGTTAATCTAGCCTTTTTACTGTCTTAAGCTGTCTTTTTCAAGAACATTGGATATACCTTTATGCTAATGAAAAAGAATTAATATGTTGGCACTCACGTATAACGTTTTTAAGAACTGTAGGAACAAACTCACAGTAAACAAAGTTAAACAAACACTGCTTGCTATTAGGTGTTTTTTTAACCGAGTTCATAGTCCATTGTAATAATGTGTAATTAAAGAGATTAAAGAAGGCTAAATGATAATATATTCCACGCTTTTTTGCTAACTCCATTAAACAAGCTTCTAAATAAAGTGAAACTGTTTGCGTCATAAAGAGAGTATTTTGGTTAAAGCATTAGAATAATTTCAGTCTGTTTACAAATAGCATTCCACCCTTTTAGTTGAGGTGATTACTTGTGTATTGATTGAAAAATAATGGCAGATGATAAAAGGAAAAAGCATTTGATCTAACTGCCAGCTACATGTGCAAGAGTATACCAATTGGTGCTTAGTGGACAAAGCACAAAGTTGTTTTCTTAACTCTTGCTGCTTAAGAAGCTCCATATAATGATTGCTCACCAATGTCTTCTTAAAGTATTTATTAGTTAACAAAGTAAATAGACATGCTTAAAAATGTAATGGTCTTGATAGTTTACATACGGGTAGTTGAGAAAATTAACTCTAGTTAATAAAAGATGAGAATTAGAAGTACATTGATAACTATAGTTTTTCCATATAAATCCATTTCCAGAATTAAACTGGGTTGAACTCAGGTTTTGGGTTGGTTTTTGGGTTTTTTGTTGTGGTTTGTTTTTTTTTTCCCCCCTCATTTGCCTTGGAAGTGAATTTAACCAAGCTGCTTTAAACCTATGAAATTCTGTATAAAGCACCAATTGTTTCAGAATAAAGGCACTAGCTTTTTAGGATAATAAGCTGTATTCAGTCCTTATGTACAAAATTAATTTGGCTCTCCAGCCTTCCCCACCCCATGATGTATCTGTGTAAATAAGTCCCAAGAAGAGTTTTCATTATCATGTATTAGCGAGATACAACTACTGTAGCATTGGAAGTAAGATTAGCAAGGACAGTTGTTCTTACTTTGATTTATACTGCTAGAGCTTTATGGAAAGAACAAAATTAATGATTTCACTACTGAATAGTATTTTTGAAGAAAGCATGAAATTCTGATTTAGTCGTCTGAGTTATTTTGTTATCTGCAATTGCAGGCCTTTGTATTTAAAAACAAAACCAAAAAAACCCCCACCAAACCAAAAAAACCCCCAAACAGCCATCCCCCCCAAAAAACAAAACACAAGGAACCCCCACAGAGCAGTCAAGCAAATTTTTTGCCAATCTTGTTTAAAAAAAATCCATCCTTCTCAAAACTTGTGACTTGCCGTGATAGTAGGTAGTTCTAGCTTTCTGTGTTAAAGTGTGCTTTGTTTACTGAATATATCAAAATATATCATACTTTTTCTGTGATTCTTAATGTTCCAAAGTAGGGGGGATCCTTCGAAACCAATTTTTTTTACTGTGGGAACTTCTTCAGGCTGAAAATGAGCTGTTGAATATATGACATTGTTTCATCAGAGTGCTCCAGATGGGAAGATGCAAAAGAACTGATGTTTGTTAAAGCATGATGTTGGCATGTCTTCAAGTTAGGGTGATGTTTGGCTGAGATAAAGGGTTTATTTTATTATACATCAAGGAGGTTTAGGTGAGCTGTTTAAAGATTCTTTCTGGCTAAACTATCATGGGGGCTGAACTTGCTTAGTTTACTTTGTATTCTGAGACCCTTAGTATCTGAGAGCTACAGAAATTAGGACTGGTTATTTACGACTTTGTTTTTGAGATGGTGACTGGTATTAAGTGTCTTAAATGGCTTTGCAGTTTTTCAGTAAAATGTGATTGTTCTAACATTACTTGGAAGACACAAAGGAAGAACTTGGTCCTGCATGTCAGTAAATCAAAGTGCTACTGGAAAGTAATAGCAGTGTCTGAACTCAGACACAGAGCTGGCTCAAGCTTTGATGTCTCCTTCTTCGCCCAGATTGCGATGAGTATATTTGGATTTAGACGTGAACCCCTCTGAGCTGCTGAGAAACATCATATAGTTTAAGAATGGAAAGTGTCCCAGCTGTTATTTACGTTTGGTGACTTTTCAAAACATGAAGAGGTGTGGGGATATAGCTAAAGTGGTTTTGTTAATGATACAAGGTATCCTCTTGCTTTCACCCTACTTAGCCAGAGCTTTGTTTCATTGTATAGGTATTTAATGCCCATTTTAGGAAGCTTGGGGGAATTAATGCCAATAAAGGAGCATGGAAAGCATCCCTCCTCAAGAAGGCACCATTAACTATGGAATTGTTGGTTGTTGTTTTGTTTTTTTTTTCTAGCCTAAAAGAATTCCTGCCTAAAGAATATACCAAACAAAGAGGGGCTGAAAAGAGAATATTTCAGGTAATTGTGAGGCTGAAAAACCTATTATAATTTCATTTCCTTTATAAGAAAAATACAAGCTTTCACAGGTGTATACTCCGTATATGCTTGAATTATATAACTATCAGAAAATCAAATTTAAAGAATCTGACAGCTTTTCTTTTCTTTTTTCAGCAGCTTTATTGTCCTGATCCTTTTTTTCACTCAATACGTTTAAGGCCTTTTTCTCAGTTGCATTGAAATGTAAGGATATGTATTTGTACTAAAATAGAAGCACGTTTAGGAAAACCAGTTTTGATTTCATGCCTTCATTATTCAAGCATGAGCTTCAAGTAATATGGAATTCTGCTAGCTAATACTTGAGTTCAGTGATGTGTCTGGGAATCAAACAGTTGTAAAAGACTGAAGCAGTACTGATACTGTTGGTAGTGATCTCAGAGCTTGAGTATTGTAGGTGCACTAAATATCTGTGCCTAGTGAAATACAAGTTTAGCAATACAATGTAAGCTGAAAAATTCTGAGGTCAACAGCTGAAATCAAGTTACATGGTTTTTGGAAGGACATACTAGTGATCCATCATCTCAGCTTGAGAGAAAAGTGGAAGAGCCCCTGCTCACAAACTTTACTGTTTCTGTTACATTCCTGTCTAGGAATTCTGTAACTCAGTAAGTCTTCTACCTGGAGCTTGTAGTACTTCCCTGTAGATTAGGGTGTCTAAAGCTTTTCTGTATACCTTTAGCTGGTGGCAGTGGTGTTGCAGTTTAAGCAAAAAAACTAAGCAAAGTTAACTCATTTCTGAGTATCACTATCATGCTATTCATAACGTGATTTTTGCCCATGTCAGTTATGAGCTATGAGTAGTTTCAATCGTTACATACTTCAGTGCATAGACAAGAAGTTCATCTGGGCAAAGATACAACAGCAAGGTGGAATAAGCAAACTGTCTTTTTGAAGAAAAAAAAAAAAAAAAACCCAAACAAAAAAAAAACCCCAAACAGTTGTTTCCCTGAGTTATAAAATTCTCGAGTTAGGCAGGTGATTTTCACCAAATAGTCCATGTGCAATGATTACTTTTGGGCTACTTGCTCTTTTGGGATCCTGTTTGTGTCCTCTGTGCTGAACTTGACAGATATGATCAGCCTATGTCTGTGGGATGCAACAGGGAGTTGCAGTTGCTCCTCCTAGTGGTCCTCTGTGGAACATTGTCAAAGTGATAACTAATACTGGAGTAGCAAATTGTTTCCCATGCTCTTGGTGCTCACCCTGCTGCCATCAGTCAGCATGAAAGAGGTGTGTCCAGGTGTTCCGAAGGTGGCAACCAGCAGTTCAGAAGAATGTGAGGGGAAGATGGAGTGTGATAGGGAATCCTATAAACAGTATTTAAAGAGCAGGACATTGGGATAGGAATTTCAGCAGATGCTGAGAGGAAGTTTGAATAGGTAATGTTGATAGTTGTCATTACTTGCAGATACTAAAATTTACTAATGAGTAAATTGTTTCAATAATAAATGGGAATTGAGTTACTAAGACACACCTAGATGAGTGTTTCAGGATGAACTATTTAGAAAAATCATTTCTTCTCCCTCACCTGTCGAATTTTTCTCATGTGATGAAAAAATTGTGGATAATGGTGCAACTGACAAAAAAACCCTATTGGATATATCTACAACAGATGAGAAATGGTCAATTACAACGTGTGACGCTCTCATGAATTGGAAGCTTTCACCACAAAAGCAGGGATGGGGAGG